CATTTCTCCTTTCAGATAATACTCGAACAATTTATCAGAAATTCGATCACTTGGAAGTCGTTTAATGTGCTCACAGCATTTCTCTTCAAATTTCTTTCTTTCCTTTTCCTAAACGAATAATATTTACTTCTTGTCTCAATAATTAATTTTCTTTCATCCGTTCATCGACACGCTGAAGATGGTCGGAAACCTCTTTAAAAGTTCACCAATTTTTAGTAGAATTTTTGTTTCTCAGTCTGAGTCCATCTCTCTCAGAAATATTAGACATGATCACGCCCTGCTGTCTCCACCTCTTACATGAATTGGAACACGTGACGGAAAACCTCTTATCGCTGCAAGTTACAAAATTCGATGTCGAATGTAATATCAAAAATCCTCTACCGGAGACATCAGGATTCCGTGACTGGTCCGCCATACCAAAAGAATTATGTTCTTGCCTCTTTAGTCATCAGTTCTCACATTACCCTTCTAAGAAGGCCACACAACGGTTTGATTTCGTGGATGGGCCACACATTCAAACTTAGACCTTTTTCAGCATTTTATCATCTAAGACATCTACAACGGGATCTACAATTGCTCACTGTTCGTAGCCATCTGATCCAGACATATTTTACAAAATGTATGGGATTCGGTTTCATTAATGAATTTTAAACCAATTGCATTCTGTTACAATTCAAAGACTCCGTCAATTCTGGTCTACAGACTTTAAATCCATTGCTTAAACTTTATTTTACGTTACCCTTGCTCTTCGGGATTCCAACTGTCGATTTCCGGCCAACAATTTACGTAAATAAATCTACTGACGACAAAACCTTTACTACAGACTCAATTGATTCATGCGACGCGACAGAACATTAGGACAACTGGGCTTATATATAAATTACTGCCAACCAAATAAACATCTGTGGCGAGATGCCGGTGGGACCGACGTGTTCTCTTGGGTGAAAATACATTTTTCACAGAAATATACAGAAAACGCGTATATTACACTCCGAAAAATAAATAACAAATATCACTCAAGTGAAATTAATTTTAGTTTCAAGATGACCTATGAAAACATCCATCTCGATTCCCATAAAAAAGTAGAACATCATTTACATTAAACTTGAGGTGAATTTGTCTCTCAATGTCGTAGATAAAACGAAAATTGTAATGAGACAGAACCAACTGAATCGACGCGGAATTCAGTCTGCGCATTGTCCATGCCGGTTCCTGTCGGATAAGACGCAGCTGCCCAAACAAACAAAAACAAAAGAAAAAGTTGTCAGGTTCCGGAGAATTTGACGTAAATACGTCTATACGGAAAGGAAGTTTATATATTGGCTTTATTCTAAATATTTCCTTTATACATGCTTTACAATTGAGTAAAGTTTGATTAAGACATTGCTTATTCAACTTGAATTAGTTACGCTTAAAATGGGTCTGTGGTAGCTGAAGGTAATGTAAAGTAATGTAATGTAAGGTAAGTTAATGAAACGTTTATAGGTAAGAACAATGCCGAGTAAACAGATGACGTTTCCTAGGTACCAAAATTGCCGAGTAATGCAAATGTAAAGTAATGTAATGTAAGGTAAGTTAATGAAACGTTTATAGGTAAGAACAATGCCGAGTAAACAGATGACGTTTCCTAGGTACCAAAATTGCCGAGTAATGCAATGTTTCCTAGGTAACCATTATTGTCGATTTGTTGATAAACAGATGAAGTTAACTAGGTAACAACAATGCCGAGTAAACAATTGACGTTTCCTAGGTAACATAACAATGCAGTTACACTTTTCCTTTCACTTTTTGCCGAATGACCCTTCCTCATAGACGTATTTACGTCAAAAACAAAACACACAAACCTGAGCACTCCTGCAACAAGAAACAAGTACACAGAAACTAAGCCGCGTCTCCTCTACCACAGTTCGGCCTTTGTAGCTCTATACGAAACACAGGGGAGTTCTTTAATCGACTTTAACGGTCGAATGTGGCATATGACTAAAGCGGTAACATATCGTACCAACTAACCAGCATGTTGATAACTTGTTTATCAATTAAAAATTATAGTTTTTATTAAAATAAGAAATGAATAGTTAAGCAAAAATTACTTCTTGTGACATCAAGCAAATCATTAACATCGGAAGGATTTCTTAAACACTGGATTTTAAACTCTTCGGTGACACGGGTATTATCAGCATGACTCGGGAAATCCGGTCGTGGTTCTTTCCTACCTTTCGGCGAGGCTGCAGTGATCTCCGCGTTCTTCCAGCGACCGGCAGATGGTGACGCTGTACCTCGAGCTCGTCCAACAGTGGCTCCGCCAAGCACCGCATTAGCACACTCGCTTCTCACATAATAGTTGCACTTTATTCTTCAAACACTAATGTTCATCACCGCGTTCACAAAATCCCGCCATCGGACTCTATACTGAGCTACCTGCATCCACTACGACTCCCTGTACTGAGCCATGTGAACCCTGTCCAAAACGTAATATGATCAAAATCATTAGAAATTATCAAGCATTAAAATCATAATAGTCATTGAATAAAAATTGACAGTGGAACCACGGTTCCGGAGAATCTGACGTAAATACGTCTCTGTATTTAAATTACATTTAAGTAATAAATACAATGAAAGGAGGGTAGCCGAATGTAATGTCAAAATTATCTACTCTACGACGCACGTCTTCTACAACCGATTCACAGCTCAGCTCTTTCCGCAATAACGAAAGCGGATTGTTGACAATAATGAAACACAACAATGCCGAGTAAACAAGACGTATCATAGGTATTGTCAACGTGCATGTTAAATCTAGTCAAACTTCAAGAGGAATACAAGGAATTTTAACAGATGACATAATTATGTGACTTTATATTAAAATATAACAATGTATAACTATAATGATACGCCTACGACTTGAAAGAATTGTTTAATGATATCTAAATATTTACTCCTGAAGACGCGGCTAATCGCTATTACGCGACGCCAAACTCACATTCCCAATTTGATTTTCCTTCTCATTTCCGACATTTTGAAAAATTCTTTTCCACTGTCATATTTCAAGAAATCTGACTTTAAAAATATAAACTTTCAGAGCCGATTCTTTCATACTTCGAAATCGTTTGCGTAACAGAAACACTTCTTCGAAAACAAATTTCGTTCCATTTTTCGCAAATTACTTGTATTTAAATAAACGTAGCAGCCGACAATAAATTTCCAAATTTCGTAGCCTCTCTGCATTAAAACTAAACTGACTTCTTACCTTTTTTGCCTTTGGTGGAGTACGAGAATTATTCACACTTATTTAAACTCCGCTATTATTAAATCAAGCAAAACGAGGTCCGAGTCACACGACAGATTTCAATACACGACCAACAACGACCAAAGTGCGACAGGAACTGACTCGGTCTGCTATTGTTACTGAAGCCAACAATCAACAATCAACAATGAACTACAAATAAACACTGAATTGAAACCCTGGTGCTGAAGGCAACAATCAAATAAACACCTACGTCTAGATGACGTCATCATAAATAAACTCAAAGTTCCCCAATAATACGAAATGAGGATTCCTAGAAATAAAATACTTCTTCTTAAACACAAAGAAATTTTTTCAAAAACACGCAATTTTAATGCAAATTGCAAAAAAAGTGATAGTGGAACTACGGTTCCGGAGAATTTGACGTAAATACGTCTATACGGAAAGGAAGTTTATATATTGGCTTTATTCTAAATATTTCCTTTATACCCGCTTTACAATTAAGTAAAGTTTGATTAAGACTTTGCTTATTTAACTTGAATTAGTTACGCTTAAGATGGGTCTGTGGTAGCTGAATGTAATGTAAAGTAATGAAATGTAATGTAAGGTACATTACTTTACATTACCAGCACAAAATTATCTACTCCACGATACACTTTTTGTACAAGCGAATCACAGCTCAGCTCTTGCCGCAATAACGAATGTAATGTAATACAATGTGAAGTAATGTTTCCTAGGTAGCAATAAACAGATGAAGTTTCCAGGGTAACCATCTTACACTTTTTCGTTTCCCTTTTTCGAATCCGTTTTACGTTACACTTTTTTGCCGAATGACCCTTCCTTATAGACGTATTTACGTCAAAAATTGACAGTTGAACCACAGTTCCAGAGAATCTGACGTAAATGCGCCGACGCAGAAGCAGCGTGAAGTGCGATGGGAATTTATTTGTATAAATAAATGCTTGTAGAACCTAAACCATTTGTGATATGTAAAATTTGAAAACAGATATGGAAAGCTCAAGGGATAATACGTATTTCGTACGCAATATGTCCTGATCCACCTCTTACGGTTTTCGGGAAGCGGGCGCTTAACGCGCCAGATGCATTGATAATTGTAAGTAGACAAACCAATTCCCTTAAGCGAGTTCACAAAAATAATAAATGTGATGAACATTAATAATAAATATGAATCCCTTATCTCAAACTTAGTTCAATTGTAAGACACAACGATGTCCACCGGCAATTATCAATTTAATCAATACTAAAATAATAGGTTTCTTAACCAAACCCACCTAAACTAACCTAACCTAAACCTACGTAACCTAACCTAACCTAACCCAACCTAACCTAACCCTCCTAACCTAACCTAAATTAACCTATCTTAGCCTAACCTAACCTAACCTAAAATAACCCAACCGTACCTAACCTAACCTGACCTTACCCACCTAACCTAACCTATCCTAACCTAACTTAACCTAACCTAACATAAGCTACCTATCCTAACCTCATTTAACCAAACCTAACATAACCTGACCTAACCTAACCTGATCTAACCTACCCTAACCTAACCTAACAGAACCTAACTCAACCTAACACTACCTAACACCCTAACAAACCTAACCTATACTAAACTAACCTAACCTAACCTAACCTAACCTAACCTAACCTGACCTAACCTAACCTAACCTAACCTAACAGAAATTAACTCAACATAACACTACCTAACACCCCAACTAACCAAATCTAAAATAACCTAACCTAACCTAACCTAACACAACCTAACATAAGCTACCTAACCTAACCTAACCTAACAGAACATAACTCAACCTAACACTACCTAACACCCTAACTAACCTAACCTAAGCTAACCTAACCTAACCTAACCTGACCTAACCTAACCTAACCTAAACCTACGTAACCTTACATAACCTAACCTAACCTTCCTAACCTAAACTAACCTAAATTAACCTAGCGTAGCCTAATCTAACCTAACCTAACCTAAAATAACCCAACCGTACCTAACCTAACCTAACCTTAACTACCTAACTTAACCTATCCTAACCTAACGTAACCTAACATAACCTAACATAAGCTACGTATCCTAACCTAATTTAAAATAACCTAACCTAACCTGACCTAACCTAACTTGATCTAACCTAACCTAACCTAACCTAACTTAACCTAACCTTCCCTGACCTAACCTAACCTAACCTAACTTAACCTAACCTTCCCTGACCTAACCTAACCTAACCTAACTTAACCTAACCTTCCCTGACCTAACCTAACCTAACCTAACTTAACCTAACCTTCCCTGACCTAACCTAACCTAACCTAACTTAACCTAACCTTCCCTGACCTAACCTAACCTAACCTAACTTAACCTAACCTTCCCTGACCTAACCTAACCTAACCTAACTTAACCTAACCTTCCCTGACCTAACCTAACCTAACCTAACTTAACCTAACCTTCCCTGACCTAACCTAACCTAACCTAACTTAACCTAACCTTCCCTGACCTAACCTAACCTAAAATAACACAACCGTACCTGACCTAACCTAACCTGACCTGACCTAACCTAACCTAACCTAAGATAACCTAACTTTAAATAACCCAACCGTACCTAACCTAACCTTACCTAACCTAACCTAAACTAACATAACTTAACCAAACCTAACCGAGTCTAAAATAACGCAACCGTACATAAGCTAACCTAACCTAACCCAACCTATCCTAAACTAAACTAAATTAACCTAACTTAACTTAAACTAACCTAACATAACCCTACCTAACCTACCATAAGCTAACCTAACCTACCCTAACCTAAAATTATCTAACCAAACTTAAACTGAACTAACCTAACCTAAAATAACCTAACCGAATTTTACCTAACCTAACCTAACCTAACCTAACCTAACCTAACCTAACCTAACCTAACCTAACCTAACCTAACTTTACCTAATTTAACCTAACCTAAACTAACCTAACTATAACTAATCTAACCTAAACTAACCTAACCTAACCTAACCTAACCTAACCTAACCTAACCTAAACTAACCTAACCTGATCTAACCAACCCTAACCTAACCTAACAGATCCTAACTCAAACTAACACTACCTAACACTCTAACTAACCTAACCTAACCTAACCTAACCTAAACTAACGTAATACAACTTACGTTACCTAGGTTACGTTAAACCTAACCTAATTAGGTTAGGTTAGGTTAGGTTAGTTTAGGTTAGGTTAGTTAGGGTGTTAGGTAGTGTTAGGTTGAGTTAGATTCTGTTAGGTTAGGTTAGGTTAGGTTAGGTTAGTTTAGGTTAGATTAGTTTAGGTTAGGTTAGTTTAGGTAAGATTAGGTTAGGTTAGGTTAGGTTTGTTTAGGTTAGGTAAGGTTAGGTTAAGTAGGTTAGGTTAGGTTAAGTTAGGTTGGGTTAGGTTAGGTTGGGTTAGGTTAGGTTACTTCAATTTAGGTTAGGTTGGATAGCTTTATATTAGGGTAAGTTAGGATAGGTTATGGTAGGTAAGGTAGGGTTAGGTTAGGTTACGTTAGGTTAGGTTAGGTTAGGTTAGTTTAGGTAAGATTAGGTTAGGTTAGGTTAGGTTAGTTTAGGTAAGATTAGGTTAGGTTAGGTTAGGTTAGTTTAGGTAAGATTAGGTTAGGTTAGGTTAGGTTAGTTTAGGTAAGATTAGGTTAGGTTAGGTTAGGTTAGTTTAGGTAAGATTAGGTTAGGTTAGGTTAGGTTAGTTTAGGTAAGATTAGGTTAGGTTAGGTTAGGTTAGTTTAGGTAAGATTAGGTTAGGTTAGGTTAGGTTAGTTTAGGTAAGATTAGGTTAGGTTAGGTTAGGTTAGTTTAGGTAAGATTAGGTTAGGTTAGGTTAGGTTTGGTTAGGTTAGTTTTGGTGAGGTTAGTTTAGGCAAGTTCAGGTTAGGTTAGGTTAGGTTAGTTTAGGTTAGGTAAGGTTAGGTTAGGTTAGGTTAGGTTAGGTTAGTTTAGTTCAGGTTAGATAAGGTTAGATTAGGTTAGGTTAGGTTATGTTAAGTTAGGTTAGGTTGGGTTAGGATAGGTTACGTTAGGTTAGGTTAGTTAAATTTAGGTTAGGTTAGTTAGGTTTATGTTAGGGTAAGTTAGGATAGGTTATGGTAGGTAATGTAGGGTTAGGTTAGGTTACGTTAGGTTAGGTTAGGTTAGGATAGGTTAGGATAGGTTAGGTTAGGTTAGGTTAGGTTATGTTACTTTAGTTAAGTTTAGGTTAGGTTAGGTAGGTTTAGGTTAGGTTAGTTTAGGTTAGGTTATGGTAGATAAGGTAGGGTTAGGTTAGGTTACGATCGGTTAAGTTAGGTTAGGTTAGATTAAATTAGTTTAGGTTAGGTAAGTTTTCGTAAGATCAGGTTAGGTTAGGTTAGGTTAGTTTAGGTTAACTTAGGTTAAGTTAGGTTAGGTTAGGTTACGTTAGGTTATGTTAGGTTAGGTTAGGTTAGGTTAGGTTAGGTTAAGTTAGGTTAGGATAGGTTAGGTTAGGTTAGGTTAAGTTAGTTTAGGTTAGGTTAGTTTAGGTTATTTTAGTTTAGGTTAGGTTAATTTAGGTTGGGTTAGGTTAGTTTAGGTTAGGTTGGGTTAGGTTAGTTTAGGTTAGGTTAATTTAGGTTGGGTTAGGTTAGGTTAGTTTAGTTTAGGTTAGGTTAGATTAGGTTAGGTTAGGTTA